GAGTAAGATCTGAGAAGGTGTGTCCGAAGATGCACGGAAGGTTCAGAATAGAATTGCTTGAGGGGGATTCTGGATAATCAACCTTGTAAACAGATCGATGAGAATGAGCAGTTCTAAAAACTGGCACTTAGACAGTGACTCCTGGGGGCTTAACTGGATGGAGGTCTCCTGGAATTGAAGAGTAACATTACCTGATGGGTCTGAATAATCATCCAAATTGTATGCATGTCGAACAATTGGCATCAGTTGGAACAAACATTATAGTAATCTTCATCTTTCTTGGGAAAAGATAATTTTTTCCATCAAGACTTTGAATGTACTGACAATTGAAGTACGTTAAGAGTAGTATCAATTTAACACAGTTGTCCATCAAACTTTCTTCCTACATAAGATTCAAGTAGACAACAACCATTTTAAACAGCATTCTGGAAAATTAGCCGGGAAAAAGGTGGAGATCCAGGGTGAAGACACCGCATAGCCTGAGTAAGGATTCTGAACTCTCTTAAACTCTGATAGATTTGGTCAGAAAGGCAACGCTAAATTAGGATATATATCAAAATAAACTGGACCAGGCTAAGCTAGCTAGTTTCCATAGCACCAATGAGTGATGCTCCCAATTAGTACATTCTACCATCTCGAGAGAGTACACTGCATGCTGGTATTTGACTAAAAGTGTTCAAAGGCTTCTTCAAGGGCCAAATCTTGGACCAAGTCCATATGGAATATATTATATTCTTTTAAAGAACGGAATTAGCATCCTGTCACTTAGTAAACATTAATGTATCATTTTTATTATTACTAGAGCTCATGCTCAAGGTTTAATAATTCGTTATCTGAAAAAATTCAAAGTACCAATCTTGTAGATGGCCTTTGGATTCTACCTTCGGGTAATTGTCCATTTATCTAAAGGGCTTCTTTAACTTCCTGCAGTAACAACAAGCTCTCTAGCTTCTGATGTGGGCTTGTATTCACTACTGATAGGGCTACTGTATTTTCCTCTGTTAGAAATAGTACTCATATATAGTGTATGTGACTATTATGACCTAATTAATAATGAATAAAACATTTACTATTCAAATGTTAAACATGGCTTCTGATACCAATAAGATGTGCTTACACAGGGGTAGACGGAGACACGTCTGCAACGACTTAACCTACCACACAAGGTGGCCTTCTCCGTCGCATTTCCAGCTGACATTGAGCTATACCCTGAAGCACCGTCCACATGGACTCCATTTCCCCATTAGAAACTTTTGCTCTGCTACCCCAGCAGGATCTCACGATACTCAACGAACCTACTCCCTATCCCTCGTGATGTGGTCTTTGGCTCCGGAGTCTACAACTCCAAAATGAGGAGAATGAGCAATTAATGCTTGACTAGACACAAAGCATTGAATGCGAGAAATTAAGTAAGGGAGTACTTCTTCTGCCGTAGGGCAATTCCCAGCGAAAGTGTCCTTTTTTGTACATGTATAAAAGGCAAGTCAATCTTTAGCCTTTGCCTTCTTAACACATATCGTCTCTCTTGCCCCTCACGCTTGAAAATTTCCTACCTGCAACGCATTGGGTTAGCAGCAGCCGCTGCCTTGCTCCTCTTGGGCACCTTTTGCTTTCCCGTTAACTGAGAAGGTTCCTACGTGACTTGACTCAACCCACCATAGCAGAAACCACTCAGCATCTGCCTGCCTCAAAGGCGCTTCATGCACTCTAGCCGCTCCAACATGACAGCGATCATGTCTTCGAATGTTTCCACACTCATCATATGCATCATGTTCTGCTTCATCTGCTCCCACAAGATTGTGCGAGAAGAGCGATTCACAGCCCTGTACTTGACTGCCTCTTGAGTCAAATTATGCCCAGCAGCGCAAGTCACTATCATTGGCTGACATGACTCGCTCAAATGCTGCTCAGATCGAAGTGATGCGCCCTTTTTGATATGAGTCAACTTCATAGTCAGCCCCACAGTTAGCTTTGCAAAAACAAATAGGTAATACCAAACTTTTGTTGAGAGCTTCCCACATACTCAATTGCAGATCGGCAATGCTCAAAACTCACTAAATCAAGCTTGCTTTGTAGCCATGCTGCTTAAAACATTTAGAGTATAATGCGCGCACGAACCGATCTTGTTATATTACGCCATAGTCTGAAAGGTTCAAGATCACGACGAGTTGAGCTGTATTGCCCTGCTCTGGCTCAACCTCATTGTTAGTGGGTCAACCCTATCTTGCGCATTGAGGAGGTATTGAGAATCTTACGGCGCCATATCATAATTGTCGCATCCAATTTCTCTCCTTAGTTAAGCTGCCACACCTGACTTAGCAGCCATTTCTACATACAGAGTAAATAAAATGCGCAGGGGATATATAATGATAGCAGACACAAAACAAATATTTTGCAGCAAAAAGAATCTAAATTAAATAATGATGAATTTTTACACATGTCTCAAGAATCAAATTTGCTATGCTCGTAATTCATCTCTTGACGCCGTCTAGTGATATATATGCAATTTAATTCATTCCAGAGCCAGAGAGAATAATCAAACAAGTACTACCCACTATCGTATGGGCATATACAAAGCGATGATAAATTCCATACGAAAGCATCTCATATTAAATTTGCAAAACTCATGCTATATGCCTATTTATATGAATGAATTCAAATAAATAATATAAATAAATAATCATCGCTGTTAATGCAACATATATTAAAAAAACGTAAAACCAAAAAAATTGTATTTTAAAATGCAGATTATGCCATAATATAAAATGTACAATTGTTCTGAAATATTTTAAAATTTTTCTGAAAATATTCTGAATTTTAAATGACTAATTAAATACACAATAAAATTAAAATAAAAATGCCAGAAACGGATGAAACTCTGAGACATGGCATTAACCAGTAAATAATAAACACCTTTCAGAAGTCTTACAATAAAATTCCTAGCCCCGAAATTTATTTATGCTGAAAGACTACCAGACAATCATTTTAAAGCATAAAAAATATAAAATAATTATACACAGGAAAAATAATTTATATTTTCTGAAAATTTTCAAAATGTTCAAGTAATGTTATGATAAAATTAATTCTGATCTAACAGTAATAAGCCACGCTTTAAAACAAAAAGTTATGTAATGATAGTTACATTATGATCATTTAACGCAGTTCAGGAATGAAAAATTCGAAACAAACAGTGCCTATCGCCAGCAGCCAAAGCCAAGTCCGAGTGTAAATAACGGGCGGTTATCTACAGCTATGCGAGGCTTCGAGCTCGAGGTCGGCTCTCCTCGGCTCGGCTCGCGGCGCCAGCCGCGCGGCTCGGCGTCGCGCTCATCCGGCCAAACGCGTTGTGCTAACTAAGCGGCACCGGCTCAGCCCTGCGGCTCAAGAGCACCCGGCCGTCGTGCCGTGCACAGTGGGCGGAGTGGCATGTGCGCGCGTTGCTGCGCGCTGAGCAGCGCGTGGAGGCGGCAAGCCTGTGTCGGGGGGAAATAGTAGATAATATTTCAATATTACGTTTCGATTTTCCCAAATATTTAAAATATCATTATATATAA